GCTGTATGAAAGCAACATGAATCTATAATGGAGAAAGTCTGCCTGGGTGCGGGACTTCCTCCAGGAGCGTTCAGCACAACGGGAGCAACTCTGCAGATAGCGTGTTGATTTATTATGCCAAGGTTGGGGTCGTGTTCTCATCGAGGTGCATGTTTTGAGCGGGGCTGCAGCGTTCAAGGCAGATGTGAGGGTAGAGTTATATGTGGAGATGGCCAGTGAGGGACAGGAGAGGGAAGGGATGGATAGCAGTTGTGAATCAATGTCAGCTGACAGCTGCTTGAGGTCAATAGAGTTAAGGTTCCTCCTGAGCTGAGGGGGGTTAGGCTGAGAGTGTTGGGTGAGGGGGTAATTGAGAGCAAATGATAAGAGGTGGTGATCAGAGAGAGGAAATGGGGTGTTGCAGATATTAGATATTGTACATGAATAAGAGAAAATAAGGTTGAGGGTATTGCCAGCTACATGAGTGGGAGAATTAGCCCACTGCAAAAGTCCAAGGGAGGAAGTGATTGAAAGTAGTTTAGAGGCTGCTGGGGTCAAAGGTGGGTTAATGGGAATATTGAAGTCTCCAAGAATTAGGGATGGGATGTTGGAAGAGAGGAAGTAGGGTAGCCAGGCAGCAAAGTGGTCAAGGAAGAGGAGAGGGGAACCAGGGGGACGATAGATTACGGCAATGTTAGTAGAGAAGGGTTTGAAAAGGCGAATTGAATGAATTTCAAATGATGGGAAAGAGAGGGAAGGAGGGGTAGACAGGGTTTTAAAGGTGCAGTGGGGTGAGAGAAGAAAACCTACACCGCCACCTTTAATCTCTGCTTGTCTTGGGTTGTGGGTAAAGTGAAGACCACCAAAAGACAGTGAGGCAGGTGTAGCAGTATCAGAGGGAGAGAGCCATGTTTCTGTTAGTGCAAGTATGTTTAGGGAGTGTGAGATAAATAGGTCATGGATGGAAGTAGATTTAAAGGTGCTGCACACAGAGCGTGCATTCCAGAGGGCAGCTTTAAAAAGAGGAATTATAGTGAGAATTACATGGAATGGGTATTAGGTTGTTGTGGTTTCTGGTGTTTGTACCAGGTGGCTGAGAAGAGGAGGGACCAGGGTTTGGAGAGACATCACCTGCTGCTAGGAGTAGTAGGATGGAAAGGAAGAGAGGGTGGGAGTAAGATTTAAATGTTGGGGATGAGAGCTTGTATTTAGGGTATTTAGGAGGGGTTTGTGGAGAAAGGCTGGATAGATATGAATAAAGTGTGTGTGATGAATACTGAGATGAGGGGAGCAGAGAGGGAGCAATGAAGATGGTGTTAGCAGGAACAGGTAAGTAAAATGATAGAGAGATTTTAATGATGAGGGAAGTGAGGGAGAAAGTGAAAAATAGAAGTGAGAACATTAGTAGGAGAGTAGGTGCTGTATTTTTAAGAGCTGTGGTTAGGAGGGTTAAGGGTTAAAGAGGTATTGAGTGAGTATAGCTATTTTTGGGTGTGGAGGGCTTGGTGAACAGAGGCTAACATAATTGGTTCAGAGGAATGGTAGCAGGGGTCAAGTCCTGGGGAAAAAAGTGTGGGAACTCTCCCCCAAAAAAACCAAAACACTTGTATGTATGTGTATATATATATGTATGTATGTATGTGTGTGTGTATACACATATATATATATATATACACACACACGCGTGCACACACACATACACTCACACAGTGGTGTATTTTAATTTTATGCTGCCCTAGACATGACTATAGAGCACCCCCCTAATCTAAATTTACCACTCCTTCATGTCAAGGGCGCACCGCTTCTTGATTAAGAACCCACCCCTTCCTCTTTAGACTCCACCTTTTCCTGCTCCTTTTAAAAAAATACTATAGTGCCAGGAAAACAAAGTTGTTTTCCTGGCACTATAATTCCGTATAGTGCCCCCCTCCTCTCATGTCCTCCCCTCCCCCACTCGACACTGGAGGGGTTAAAATCCTATGGGTATTTAGCAGATGCTGGATGTCCTCATGCACAGGGTGAGGATGTCCAGCATCAGTTAGGTGACTTTTGGTCACCTAACCACCCGAAAGTCCCTCTAGTGGCTGTCTGATAGACAGCCACTAGACTTGGAGTTACCACTCAGGTAATTATTGCAGTTTCTGAGAAGGTTTAAGGGGACTGGGACACTGCACCCAGACCACTTCAAGGAGCTGAAGTAGTCTGGGTGCCTATAGTGTCCCTTTAAGCACACTCTCTGACAGACACCCACACTGGCAGATACACACTGTAAGTAACACACACATTCAATGACAAACACACAGACGTCACTGATTTGACACACACATTCCCTGACACACACTCATTCATTGACAGAGAGACACACACTAATAGTCACACACACACTAAATGACAGACTCTCACTTATTTGACAGAAACTTACAATATCGTATGCACATACATGCAATTGCAAACATACACATGCATACACTAACAGAAGCACATACACTCACATACACACGTACAAACGCTAACAGACATAAATACACTCCTACACACACTGAGACAAACAGACATCCACAGACAGACATCCACACATCCAGACATCCACACATCCAGAAACAGACATCCACACATCCACATCCACACATCCACAAACAGACATCCACACATCCACAAACAGACATCCACACATCCACAGACATCCACAAATCCACAAACAGACATCCACAAACAGACATCCACATCCAGACATCCACAAACAGACATCCACACATCCACAAACAGACATCCACAAACAGACATCCACACATCCACAAACAGACATCCACACACAGACATCCACACACAGACATCCACACACAGACATCCACAAACAGACATCCACAAACAGACATCCACAAACAGACATCCACAAACAGACATCCACAAACAGACATCCACACATCCACAAACAGACATCCACAAACAGACATCCACACATCCACAAACAGACATCCATACATCCACAAACAGACATCCACACATACACAGACATCCACACATCCACAAAAAGACATCCACAAACAGACATCCACACATACACAGACATCCACAAACAGACATCCACACATCCACAAACAGACATCCACATCCACACATCCACACATCCACAAACAGACATCCACAAACAGACATCCACACATCCACAAACAGACATCCACACATCCACAAACAGACATCCACATCCACTCATCCACAGACATCCACACATCCACAAACCCACAAACAGACATCCACACATCCACAAACCCACAAACAGACATCCACATCCACAGACATCCACATCCACAGACATCCACACATCCACAAACAGACATCCACAGACAGACATCCACTAACAGACATCCACACATCCACAAACAGACATCCACAAACAGACATCCACAAACAGACATCCACACATCCACAGACATCCAGACATCCACAAACAGACATCCACACATCCACAAAACAGACATCCACACATCCACAAACAGACATCCACACATCCACAAAACAGACATCCACACATCCACAAACAGACATCCACAAACAGACAGATCCACGACAAGATGATCCACACATCCACAAACAGACATCCACAAACAGACATCCACACATCCACAAACAGACATCCACACATCCACAGACATCCACAAATCCACAAACAGACATCCACAAACAGACATCCACAAACAGACATCCACAAACAGACATCCACACATCCACAAACAGACATCCACAAACAGACATCCACACATCCACAAACAGACATCCACAAACAGACATCCAGAGACAGACATCCACACATCCACAGACAGACATCCACACATACACAAACAGACATCCACAAACAGACATCCACACACAGACATCCACACACAGACATCCACACACACACAAACAGACATCCACAAACAGACATACATTAATAAGATTATCAACAAATTAACATATCCCATTCCAACCCACCCAGCATCCCTACCTTTCCTTGGGGTCCAGTGGGGCTGCAGTGAGGACGGCTCTCTCCCTGTCACACGCGGAGAGGGAGCTGTGTGCTCTCTGCTCCCTCTCGTCGCGCGGGATGTCTGCTGATACTGGGAGCCGGAATATGACGTCATCAACCCGGCTCCCAGCATCAGCAGACATCCCGCGCGGCGAGAGGGAGCAGAGAGCACACAGCTCCCTCTCCGCGTGTGACAGGGAGAGAGCCGTTCGCCAGGTGGCCCCCCATGACAGGGGGAACACAGGGCATTTGGGGGCGGCATTTTTTGCTGCCCCCTGAGTGCCTGCAGGGGGAACGGCGTTCCTGCTGTGAAAAAAGTGCAGGAACGCCGTTCCCACGCGTTCCTGCAGGACTCGAGCCCTGAATGGTAGGTAATTTGAACTATCTATAAATGTAGTGATAACCATGGGGAGGGTGGGAAGCGATCATCCAGAAATGCTACCTCTGCTTATGGCAAGTCCTGCAGGGTTGTGCTGGGAGTCCTGGGTGTAGCTGATTCAGTCCTGGGTGTAGCTGATTCAATATTGTATGGGGCCCAGGCTCTGCTTATGGCAAGTCCTGCGGGGTTGTGTGCTGGGAGTCCTGGGTGTAGCTGATTCAATATTGTATGGGGCCCAGGCTCTGCTTATGGCAAGTCCTGCAGGGTTGTGTGCTGGGAGTCCTGGGTGTAGCTGATTCAATATTGTATGGGGCCCAGGCTCTGCTTATGGCAAGTCCTGCAGGGTTGTGTGCTGGGAGTCCTGGGTGTAGCTGATTCAATATTGTATGGGCCCAGGCTCTGCTTATGGCAAGTCCTGCAGGGTTGTGTGCTGGGAGTCCTGGGTGTAGCTGATTCAATATTGTATGGGGCCCAGGCTCTGCTTATGGCAAGTCCTGCAGGGTTGTGTGCTGGGAGTCCTGGGTGTAGCTGATTCAATATTGTATGGGGCCCAGGCTCTGCTTATGGCAAGTCCTGCAGGGTTGTGTGCTGGGAGTCCTGGGTGTAGCTGATTCAATATTGTATGGGGCCCAGGCTCTGCTTATGGCAAGTCCTGCAGGATTGTGTGCTGGGAGTCCTGGGTGTAGCTGATTCAATATTGTATGGGGCCCAGGCTCTGCTTATGGCAAGTCCTGCAGGGTTGTGTGCTGGGAGTCCTGGGTGTAGCTGATTCAATATTGTATGGGGCCCAGGCTCTGCTTATGGCAAGTCCTGCAGGGTTGTGTGCTGGGAGTCCTGGGTGTAGCTGATTCAATATTGTCATACAAAGTGTTTCAGAGTTGCATTCATGTGGTTAGAAAATGACTTAAAACAACAATAATAACAATAAATGAGCTAAAGGAGTGAAGGGTACAGACATAAGGTCTATGTGGGGCTGTGGATCTCAGATCCTATATCGTGTGGTTCTGTATAAACCATTGCAACAGCTTTTACGTTATTGCTTGGGACAGCAATTTGCAGGTGACCAAGAAAGCTATATACTAGTGCTTCATGATACTGGAGTGGTGTCTATATTGTCTGGGGTGTTGGCTGTTCCGAGTCGACTCCCCTTCAGGAGGTGTCGACGTAGTCTACAGCAATTGGGACACGACTCTCTCCCACCAACATAGAAACATAGAAACATAGAATGTGACGGCATATAAGAACTATTCGGCCCATCTAGTCTGCCCAATTTTCTAAATACTTTCATTAATCCCTGGCCTTATCTTATAGCTAGGATAGCCTAAGCCCTATCCCACGCATACATGTATTTTGTTTATGCTGTTATTACTGAAACACCACGCAAGTCCCTGAGGAAGTCCTGCTATTGGATGAAACGCGTAGGACTCCCAGTGGTGACACAAATTGTTTTTAACTTGAATGTAAGTTATTACATTTTCCTTTTCATACTCTGGATAGTCTATTTCAACTTTGCTTTATTTCCATTTCCTCCTGAGTCCATATACCTATGGAATAACATGATGGAAGTATCCAGCTGACCTCTAAAAAGGAATTCTTATTCAAGGCTTTTATACAACTGTGAAAGTGTGAGTGGCCGTTTGTCACATAATTTGTGGTTCACTAACTAACACAGTTATACGCTATGTGATTTTGTCTTTCTCCAGTTAGCAGATTATCCCCTATTTTTTTGTATATGTTGTATTGAAGACAAGAGGAAGTCTTTGGGGAACCTGTGGATACTTTGCCCTTATAAGGAAAGTTCCTCTCTGCTAATATTTATTAAACACCTTTTCACTTTGATTTGTGCACACTTATTGTTTGTTTTGTGGTAATTGTATGCCTCTAAAGCGGATTGCGTGGTGTGCCAACTGTATGGCGTAAAAGTTGCAATAATGTGCCAACTTTATGCATCTAAAGCTGATTGCCACGGTGTGCCAATTGTATTTCTCTAAAGCTGATTGCCATGGTGTGCCAATTGTATTTCTCTAAAGCTGATTGCCATGGTGTGCCAATTGTATTTCTCTAAAGCTGATTGCCATGGTGTTCATTTTTAAAATATGCATTAAAAGCGAGTGGGTCTCGAAAAATGTAAGTTTTCAAACATGGGTCTTGACCCATAAAAGTTTGGAAGCCCTGCTTTAGAGAAATGGAACTAATGGATGGAAATGCCTCTAAGTGTTTAACTGGTGGGTTGGAGTTTGTTGAACATCCTCAGTTCCCATTGAAAATAATTGAAAAGCTAGGATTGGATAATAGTTAACAGCTGCTTCATATTTTATCATTTCCAGCAAGAACCTACAAAAATGGACATTTGTAACAAAATTTCAAAATTGAGTTCCTTTTGTATCTGAATGTTAATGTGTTATCTGTATGACACATTACGCTGGGGGTCGACTCCAGCCTGGAGAGCCCCTTTAAAACTATAAACATCTTTACATTAATCAAGAGAGAAAGAGCAACTCCTATTTTTTTTTCCTCGAATTAACTGTAATGTTGCATATACTATCCGTCATAAAACATAACAGGACTTCCCCTTTTGCTTATCAACAGTTCAATCACTATTCCTTCCTGTGACGATGTCACAGGTGTGTGAAGATCATATATCACAAGTAAATCGGCTCTCCAATGAGCTTCCATTGTTGCATTTGGTGTTATCATTAGTTGCATGGTATCCTTAACCCCTTAAGGACACATGACATGTGTGACATGTCATGATTCCCTTTTATTCCAGAAGTTTGGTCCTTAAGGGGTTAAGTCTACCTTTGTATGAGTGTCCTAAACATATTGTTTAAGCACAACAAGTATCCTATAAATCGTTTAGAACACTGCTTGCTTCCTGTTGCTGTCTTGGTCAGTAGGATAAATCACTTGAATATTCATAGTAACAGATAATTAAAGCCATTTTAAATTATGGTTACCCCTGAAGATACCAAACAGCAAATAGTTTATATTGAAAAGACAGGAAAAATTGTTTGTCATGCTAGAATAAGTTATAGCTAATGACTATATTTGTTGTGATATCTAGTAACTACTAAGAGTATAAGAAATTTAACACCAATGCCTTCAAACCACTTCCTTAATATACCAAACAAATATTGTATTAAAAAAATAGATTTATTTATTTATACAGATTTGACTGAGAAACATACATGAGTCATAGAAGACAGTCTAGAACAGGGGTAGGCAACCTACGGCACTAGTGCCATGCACGGCACTCGAGGTTTCTTTCCACGGCACTCAAGGCTGCTAGGGCCAAACAGGCTCTGGCCTATCAGGAGTCTCAGTGAAACTTCAGATATCTGCTAATACGAAAAGGTGGTGAAGGAAAATCCTCAATTTATGCATTGCAGAAGGTAGAGGAAGTGATCTCAGATCAGTTCCTCCCAGCACTTGTGAATAGGAATCCACACTGTAGTAGAGCAGCCTGCAGCTGCTGTTGCAGCTCTTGACCTGTACCTGGCCAGCCTGGTCCCCACTGGAACCCAGGGAAGCCACCCACACTGCTAGATATCCACAGACCTGCAGAATAAGCCTCCCCTCATACAAATAATACGAACAGCTCACACATAAACATACACATAATCCCCACAAACGCAACACCGCTAACAATCCACATACATGCACACAATTCCACATGCAGCCTCTCACATGCAATATCCCAAACAGCCCACACACACAATGTGACATATCCATCCACACACAATTCCACAAGCAGCCCTCATACACAGCCCACATTCATGTGTATACAATATGTTCATATACGCACAATTACAATGATACAAAGCAATTACAATAAAAATAACAACAAACAGAATTCGGCAACATACACACCTGGCACGCTACGGGACATCACAATCCTATATCGGCACAGTGCTGCTAAAAGGTTGCCTACCCCTGGTCTAGAACATAAACCTAATGAAAGAAAACAGTAAATAGTTGACCCATACAATGGGACATGTCAGCCTGTAATTTCCCCAACAATGAGAGCTCTGATTTTCTATTTAACACCTGCAGGCGAAGGAGGCATCTATTCAGTATTAATTACTTAACAGCCACGTGAAAGTCTATGCCGCAGTGCATGGCTTTAATGCCCAGTGATGGCATAGACCGCCATGCAGTAAAGGTACCCTGCTGGTACTAAGGATCTGTCAATACCTGTCAGTCCCCTCTGTCAGCTGGAGCCACATTTAGTGGCCCCAGACTAACAGATGAGCTATGAGCAGAGCTGAAAATGAGCACTGCATATAGCCCTATAGATACTATGGCTGAGCGATCTTGCTCAACCACGGTATTTCTATCACTGTCCCCAGCCTCCATGAAAAAAAAGGGTCCCCTCTGTCAGAAAAGCTATGAGCAGCCCTCCAAATGAGAGCTGCCCATATTTTCTTTAAATCCATTAACTGCCATGGTTGTACGATCACACTGCTGCAGTCATTTTAAAAATCACGTTATCCCCCAAGTTTCAGGGATACCCCTCGTGTCTGTAAAGACCCTGGGTACTTCTCCCTGCTTGCCCCCTGCAGCAGGCTCAGTGCTTGGCTCTACCAAATGCCCTGCACCGATCTATGTGTGAGAAGTTGCAGTATGATACTGCAGTCACACAGTAGAGCCCCCTGTACTGTGTGAGCTAGGAAATCCCTCTAATGATATCCATATTAACATAAGCAGAGGGGCTCCCTGAGAGGTTGGATTAGGTGGTGAGACTAGAGGGTGGGATTAGGGCTGGGAATCTAGTTAGGGGTTCGTTTATGAGTTGGATTAGCATCGGGTTGTAGGTAGGATTAAGGTCAGATTATGGTTTGGATTAGTAGTAGGAAAATAGGAAAAGGAATTCAATTATAGATTGTATTATGGGTTAGATTAAGGGTTGAAAATCTAAAAAATAAAGGACACAATGGCGCTAATTATAGTATGTAATCTGGTGCAGCTAAAATTACTCAAGTGTAGTGTCATCGTTTAAACTTAACAATTGTGATAAAGTAAAAGAAAAAAGGTGATTTGCGCACACAGAAACAAATATTTTGTTTACCTTACATTCATTAATTTTCTAATAATCAGACCATAGGTAATTCTTTGAGACCTATATTTAAATGAATTAGAAAACACACATAGTGTAAACTGTATATTTTCAGAGCCCATTAAAAGCAGGTTCGGTACTTATGGTGCTTTTCATCTCATGAGATATGTAATGAGAATGAAGAGTGAATGCCCTCAGGAACTCTGTACTGTTGTATTTGCAGGAAACTCCAGAGTCCAGGGTGGATATTTAATAAAGGTTTAACGTGTTGTGCTACTTTATACTACTTTTAATTTTGTTTTTTTTAAAACAAACTTTTGTTTTTGTTTTTAGAAATCCGGTAAATAAACCTTTATTAAATATCCAGTGTGTGTATGCCAATGTGTATGTATGTGTGTCTATATCTGTGTGCCAGTATGTGTACGTGTGTTTCTGTGTAGGTATGTGTCTCTGTGTGTGCCAGTGTGTGTATGTGTAGGTATGCGTATCTGTATGTGTAGTTGTGAGTGTCAGTGTGTGTATACTGTACCTGTGTTCTTAATGTCATTGTTGACTGCTGTTCACTTTACATGGTTGAAATATTATTCTGATATAGTTTATTAAATAGTTTAGTACACCATTTGATTCAGAATCTTTTTTTTCTTGTTTTCCTCCTCCAAAACATAGGTGTGTCTTATGGAGCGAAAAATACAGTACTTTCTACAAATATATATTTTTGTGCAGTGTTTTTTTTATTCTCTGACTTGAAATATTAAAGTTGTAATCTCAACATGCAAATTTTGCAATGTTTTTGCTTTAAAAC